GAGTTTTTTTGTCAGATTAGACTTATGTATAGGCGACTGAGATTAAGATCGTAGCGCCAGAACGGCGAATGTCGGTACTACTCTATGGGCCATTGGCGGATTGTTTACATTGTTTGTTAATGGTGTTTATGTTCATTTCGTTTTGAGTTTTCAAACGTCCAGCTTTGTTATTTGTCTATTTTCGAACTCTGTATTTTCCAGCGGTCTACTGTGTTTTGATTGAGGACTATATTATCTCTGTTCAACATTAGATAACCTCCCTACCTCTAGTTGAACTTCATATATACCAACATGCATAGGCTGTAAGTTTTTATCATTATTGAACAAGAATTCTCATGAAAATCTCTGTGGAATGTTGATTTGCAATTCGAATATATAGCTGGGATATTCCCCTGATAGTGCATGATATTTTTAAGACAAAATCCAGCAAACTTTTTGGGAATAAAGTGTTCTTTGGAAGGTGAATTTAGGTACACAGTTTCTACTTGACTTTTTACAACATAATCATCGAAACCCTGATTGATAACATTCTTTACTGTTGAAAAATTCTACTGTTCATGAGTAAAGATATAATCAGTTTGAAATTTGTTTGTTCTTTTACCACCACCTCAAGAAGTAGGTATTATATTCATAATAGACATACATTTGAAAATATACCTATAGGTATGAGTAAATTTTCAGTCAAATACAAATTTAGACTGTCCTGATTTTTGAAAGGAATGAAAGCTATACTCGGGATTTTTTGCTCAAGATGAACAATGAGGTACACAACAATGATGACTCATGTTTTTAAACGTTTATAGAAGTTCTCAAACAAAATTATAGACAATTAAAACACAACTACTTCTCATACAAAATACACGCAAACTAATGTAAACAAAGCAATCAATGGCCCATACGTTAGTTATATTAGACAACGGTAGAGGGAGTACTCCTTAGCATGAACCGCCTATTGGCAAAGGAATACAACCTTCATTTCTTGTTTGATAATTCTGTTCACTCAGAGTCTTACCATATTTCTCATGAATGAGGCTTGCAGTTTCCAAAATGAATAAGCGAATCAGAATTTGTTGATTTATAAAAATAGAGGTTTGCAATGATAACGATACTGTGCCCCACCCATATACCGAATTGTTCTTTTCTGTAGTAAAATAACAATTGAATAAGTATTCACTACATAAACCCGAAAACAATACCTTACTCATGAGAGACTCAATCAAGGAAAAATATACCAACCTGGCTGAGGCTGTATTCAATTCCTTAGATACGATTTTTATCGCAAAATAACCTGAGGCAATTATTTTATTCAAAGAAATAACGTGTTCATCAAATTTTAGCTTACTATCTATAATGAAACCTAAAAAGTTCATGTTAGGTTGACTCATAATAATATGGCCCGCCAAGTATAAATCATCATAATTGAGTCCCACCACTGCTTGAATTATGTAAAAAAAATCTGAATTGAGGAACTCCAATCTGTGTGTTCAGTAGATGTAATTCGATGTTCGTCGTGACATATGGCCAGGAAAATAGTTGTTTTCTGTTGACTATTTCACTCAACACTGACAAATCACAAGCCAGAGACAACTTGTGTTGTCGTAAAAACATTAGCTGTCTTTCAATTCAGATTGGTCTATCAGCGTTGGTGTTTTCAACGATGTAACCATGGATAGCGAAGCAAAGTCTGTCAGTTTGGTATCAAATAATTTTAGCTGTAGTTGTCAGAATGTATCACTCATTTATAATGAATGCCTTTTGAACGTGAAATAGTCTAGAAAAATACCACCCTGTTCTGAATATCTCCTCACAATTCTTTCTTTCACTGTTACCTCAATTGTGTTGCCTTACGGCAACACGCTTTCGTGAACAATGTAGCGACAGAATTATCTCGAATATTCAGACCATCTCATGTTCACAATATATCAGAATATTCCATTACAAATGATTATGTTCTATAAATATTCATTTCAAGTTTTCGAATCATTCTTCATGCTGTCCAATTAACTTGATGTTAGCAAGTATTTTCGTTCCATGAGTACATAAGCAGTTGTGACACTTGTGAAGTGAATTAACATTGAACAAATTTCACTTACCAAGACAGACTCGTTTTATGATCTCGAGTGATTTTAAGGAATTGATTGTTTAATATGTTATGTAGATTATTGTAATTGAGTTAGTTCGTTCACGCAGAAACATTCCAACAAATCCTAATTGCTAAAGATTGTCATTGCCGCTCCCACTAAATATGGGTATTATCGAGAAATAGCGCAGAAGTTCTCAATTTGACTACTTCAGACTTCTTACTTCAGAGGTTATTTGAAGTCGACTGAAATAATAAATCATTTAACTAAAGCACGTCAACAAACATTCTGAAAATATAAAATACAATTTTGTCGGTCTTCATAGGGGTATTATGTTGTGGAATAAAGATAAAATTATCGAAGATACTACTTGTGTTTGATCTCACACAATTTCGATTGCCATAGACACCATTATTAGGGCCAAGATCAAATCTCATTGGTACATGAAAGACTGATTGATGTTAGTAATTATGCATTAATAATAAAAGGATGTTTCAATTGACAATTCGCTCCCCCTCACTCGTGTGTTTTGGTATCTCTTACGCAATTTATTTTTGTAGTATTTATATTTTTCAAGGAGCTCTTATCATACAAGAAATTTTCATAAAACTAAAATTAGAAAATGCACGAGACATTAAAAGCAAAAGTGTCGAATCAATTTGGACTAGTCCACTACCCGAAATTTCAGTTGAATACCTTATACGAGATGTATGATATATACCAAGACTGAAAGATATACCGGCTGCAAATTTTGACCCTCATCTGATAACGAAATGATATATGTTTCAAAGGCATGTGAAACAATTGTATTTGCACTGTCCTGTGCAGAAATGTGTACTCAAGCTCACGATTTGATACCGAGATAAGAATAATGCCGTCCTATACCAAGTGGATGGTTGATTTCAAAAGCCTACCTGTGCCACCCCTCAGTCTAAGCCAAATCCACAGCACAGTGATTTATTTGCTGCTATTATTCCAGACATACTTCCGTCATGTGATTACGAGTTGAAACATGAAGCAAATAAAAGGGAATGATGTCGCCTTTGCGAATATCCAAAAGTTGCCGCCATACAAACTGATCTAAGTTAGTGGCAGAGCGTCAATACTTCCAATAGTATTTCGCCCCTCCCCCTTTAAAGATAATATCCCATGGACCACTTTGAAACTCGACATGTGAGTTAGAATACTTGTAGTGTAAGCACCACATGAGTTTCACACTGGTCCATCGAATTTATCTTTCGACGAGGGTGAAATATTTACGGAAATATTGACGCTCTGTCACTAACTTAGCTCAGATTGAATCGCGGCACGTTTGGAATAACAGCAGCAAATGAATAGCTGTGCCGTGGATTCGGCTCAGACTGAGGGGTGGCACAGGTAGGTTTTTGAGATCTATCATTCAATTGGTATCGGATGGCATAATTCTTATCTTGTTATCAAATCGCGGAATCGAGTGCAAATTTTCGCACAGGAAAGTGCAATTTTTCAATCATTTTGCTCAGGATAGTTATTTGCACAGGTGCTGTTCGATGTACTACAATGTTTTTACTTTCCTTTGGGACAAATATCATTTCGGTAGACGGTAGAAATATGGCAGCCTGCTTTTCTACTAATAGACATTGCAATTTTCGATAATATCATATGTTAATTAGTGGCACTACATTTTATTTCCATTTTTTTTTTTTTTTATTTATTTATTTATTGAAAATGTTACTTCCAGTCAGAATCAAGTTCTGGTATAAGGAAGTATAGTTAACAATAATACCTAAAACTATACAATTATAATAAACTGATGAATAATAAAATATTTGAAAACATTAATTATTAAATTTTGACAAATCATTTCATATTGGTGAGCAAAAATCAATTTGAATATGAATCAAAAGTTGGAAAAAAAGTCATCTATTTCGTTCAGAAATGATAAATTTTTTAAGATGGTATTTAAATTTTATTGTATTTCTACAATTTTTTATATTATCTGGTAATTTGTTATATTCCAATAGAGCAGCGTGGGTGAATCTTTTTTGGCCTATAGAAGTATTAGCGATATCAAGATGAAATAAACCATGTTGTCTAGTTTGATAATTATGAATTTCATTGTTTCGTGTTAAAATAAAATTAGATTTCAATCTTTTATTTATGATATTGTATGTAATTTTCAGTCTTTCGATTTTGAACATTTCTTCTAATGAGAATGATTCAGTTATTTTATATAATTGATTTGTTGGTGTATCATATGGTAAACGATACAGTACTTTCAATGTCTTTTTATATAATGCAGATATTTTATTATAACATCTTCGAAATTGTTTCAAATAATGTCTAGAGAGAGAAATTCCGATAGATGGAACTTTTTGCTGCTTAGGAAAAGCTTCTTGAGTAGTATTTGTTGGAGAAAATAAAATTGCGGAGCGCCCAATGGGACATATGGAAATACAGGGGTGGCATGAAGCTAACTGAAACACACTGTACACTGTACAGGGCTAGTTTCATTAATGTGAACCTCTCTTAATCTGTTTTGTTTTCCACCCATCAAAAAAAAATCAGATTTTATACAATTATTTTTCATATAGGTTCCAATCATAGTGACTGTGTTGCAATATCTCTTCAAATATACAGGGAATTGAGGAATCCAAATCTATCAACATATATGGCGCAATTCATTTGAAAAAAGAATATTTTTTTGTATACCCTGTATATTTGAAGAGATATTGCATCATTGTCAATATGACTGAAATCTGTATGAAAAATCGTATGAAATTAATTCAAATTGTTTTTAAGTGTGAAACAATAAAGAAAAAGGGGGGTTCATATTGATGAAACTAGCCCTGTACATGTGTACTTGAGCTTTGGATCAATATCGCTTTGTGCAAATTACAAAACTCAACTGTTATCATTCATGATGAATAACACTTGCAGACTAACGAGAACACCGTGACGCAAGGTCGACAGATACTGGTGAACGGCCAACAGTCTCAGATGGCGGCACTGCTACAAGCCGTGAAGAGCACTGCTGCTCAATCGACCAATGCCCCACAGCCCACATTGGGAGCCCCCGTACAGCAGCAGCAAGCGAGCGGGATAAACCCGGACACCAACAAGCAGTTCGTCGTCACTCCGGACTATATCCAGCAAAGTATGTTGATCTATCAACCGTCTGTTATCGTGTATAATCCAAACTGTGCGTACCCATTGCAAAACGATGTTTCCGTTCGGTTCTACGAAAGATGAACGATTTAAAGACGAACTGACGATAGTAATGTGAAGAGCAAGGGTTCCATTGATATTCTGAATAGTTGATGTTGACAGTACAGTTTTTATTCATTATTTTGACTGGTTTTTCTGTGATATTTTTTCTGTTAGAGACGAAGACTGATGTCTATGGAGTTTTTGTTTGTCTTGGTTTTCCGCTCTAGTTTCAACATCACTATTTTTTAAAGGGAAACAGAGAAAATAAGCAAGACTCGGATTCATTTTGGCTGAGTAATTCGCGTATATACATTCCAATAAATGGAATAAAAAGGGATCAAAATCTTCTGGAAGTGAATGCACTAGCAATAATCATCATTGTTTTATAAATACGCTTCTTCGAGAAATTTTGTATGTATGATGATTTGTTGACCCCAGAGACCTAAACATAGTTGAGCATTTAATTAATTTACATTCATTCACAAATGTCAATGGCTGGTGTAGAACATATCGTTAGCTCAGAAGGATAATTGTAGCTTGTCAAACTGGAGTGACTGTCAAGCTTCAAGAATAGCTAACCTACCATGTTTTCATACTTCAGTTCATATTTATGAAAAGAAATATAATTATTGCAGTTATGCAACTCGAAAGTTACTCCTTTGTAAGAGGTCCATGTAGATTGTAACAAAAAAATTGAGCAAATACGAAAAATCTGAAACCAATGGTTTTCAATACTATGATTTGAATAATTCTAAGAATTCAGTCTGGATTCGGTTATTGTATCATTTCTCAATGAAATGAGTATTTTGAATTCCCAATAAAATTATTGTTATGATCAATTTTTGATAATATGGTCCAAACAATCGGCAATATAATGATTCTACAGAACCCAGTCGAATTCCAAAATTTTATTTGATGCTCACTGTTGATTTCCAAAAGTTTTCTGTAAATTAACTATGCACATCAATTATAAGAAAACCTAATCGAATACTTCTTTATTAGTACACTGCTACAGAAACGCAAATGTATTAAAGCGCTTTGTTCTTAGACAGATTCTTTTTCAGGGGTCAAAGATGAGTATGAATGAAGTGACTATTTTATATAAAAATATTGTTCTAAATTCTTATCAATCTGAGCTATGTTAAATGCTTAGGATCTGAATACAAAACGTTTCAGCAAACCGAAAATGTGTTTCAGTGATATTCAATATAAAATCAACAAAAAAAAAAAACAGTGGTTCAGTTCTCTCAAGTTTTTCTGTTGACATATTTTTAAATGAGTTTGGAGGCGAAATATCCTTTGTTATGCACGTGCACAGAGATTTTAAGTGCAAATAATTCGAAAACGACTTATTTGTCAATATTCTAGATGAATGATTTCCACAGAATTCAATAAGTAATTCAGCGGAATACTGATTTTCTCAAAGATATTCAGTTGTCATCATTAGAACAGGCATATATACCCGTGTCGACGCATACGGATTTCTGTTACTATTTATGACTTGGACTGTAGATGCGAGTTCTCACAGAATTTCAACGACCTGTATTCAGATTATGGTGCACTTAGGTATGTTTATTGAGTTTTGCGATTCTTTATCACTTCTCGAGACTAACGTATTGAAATCTGGACCACCCTGTGTTAATGAAACGCCCCAAAAATATATAATGAATATCCGTGCATTCCACGACAACATGAACTTTTGAATTTCATCATAAATTTCCATTAAAACCACTGAAAAAAAAAAACAATTTTCATCAGAATACCTCTGAAAAATTCAAGATTTGCTAAATTACAAATCTATTATGTTACTAAATCCCAGTTAGAGGTAACCTTGGCATTAATCCATCACTAACGAGGATATTAAATTTCACTGTATTTACAGATTGAAATCCACTGGTTTGAAACATTAAAGATAGTTTCTCTTTTACCGATATTGAAAAGATTGAAATTGAGAACGTTAACATAATCATTCAATAAGTTGATGTTTCTTATACATCAACTCAAATGCAATACACAGCCATATTTGATATATTTTCTCTGTTCCTAATGTTCGTCACCGTACTATTTTGATCATTGAATAATTAGTTCTATCATAGTTCCAAGTGTAATTCTTAAACTGTAATGACACTTTTTATAATAAAGTTGTTTTAAAAAATCTCATTGTTTTATTCAATTGAACCCTTGCACTTCTGTATTTATTATTTCTTAAACTCGTTTTGCTTTGGGTCCTTTTTATGTTGAACCTATTATTCTTATGTTTGATTTGTCTTTATTTTACAGGCATTTATGTTTTTGAATTTTCTGAAATCGCATATTCATAATTCTATAATCATCACTAATATGTATCTATCTACGTATTTACACCACATCTTTGTATGCGTTTGCAGGTATTATAAACTCACGTGCAAAAAGAACGGCCACCCTTAAACAGTACATTTGAAAAGTAAATATAGTATATATACTTTTTCTACGAACTCACAATTCGTCTCTTCTACAAGATACCATAATACCGAAAATTAGATCAACCTACCCGCTAACCTATAAATTAATTCGAAGGGAATGGGAATTGAGAACATAATATAATCCAACTGCATGCAACCAACGAGGCATGTATATTGGTTGTAGATGTTTCCAGTCCATAGGGAAATTTACTAACCTTTGTGAATAAGAAGTTTTCATCTGATAGAAAATAAAAGCTCTTGGATTCGTTGAGGTAACAAAGTTTTCGATTTCTCAGGTTTGTATCCATATTCTGATTGCATAATTTTTGCTTACATAAATGTTCTTACGTTTATATATTGTCATGCTCTGCATAGAATGAATTGCCCACAAAGATGAAAGCTTCATTTTTACACAGAGTTCTTGGATATATGCAACTACCTACCGTTATCGATTTCACTTCCGTCTACATTTCGTATATATTTTTAATGAAGAATTCTGATAGACATAGAAATTATTTGAATAATTCTAATTATCACCGATTGCAAATTGCAACAAACTTATCAAATGACTGTTGAAAAGACAGTTGACAGGCCGGACAAGACTCAAACGACTGAAGTTGTGTTTAAAAAACTGTGTTGCCATGGTAATGTGTTTAAGAAATTGTGTTGAAATGGTAACGTGTTTAATTTTTTGAATAAATCACAGATCGTCAATCCGTGATTAATCGATCACTTATTCGTACGCTAAATGTCATTTTAGTTATGTGAGTAGAAAACATAGTTTAGCAGTTATTATTTTTGATGATTGAGGGTGGTCGTTTTCCTGCTGGTCAGTTTAGTTCAAAATGCCTTGAGGTTTATATGAATATCATTATCTGAAAACAACATGATTTCTCATAGTGATATAACACCCAGAAATGGAATATGTTCCGTCTGTTGGTTAGTTATTCATTATCGAAGGTTTGGTATTGAAAACGTTGAAATAGAACATACCTAAATTGTGAATCTGGTAAGAAAAGCCATGAAAGTACAAGACATTTACAAGATGTTTTTATCGTGAGGTACACTAGTTTGATTCTCTCAAGTAAGCCAGGTTTCCTATCTTCATTCCCAAATAATATGAATTCTCTCGATCTCGGGAGTCCTTTCTCCAATCACCACAATCACTGCTCCAAATATGCGTTAATATTTTTTTTTTATTTTTACTATATGATTATGATTTTGTAACAATGGGGGCTAACATTTTCAGTCTCACCAGTTGGCGCTACTAAAACATGAGGTCAATGTCAAATAGATCCCAAAATGTTGCCGGATAGCCCTAAAGGCTATGACCTGTTTTTTCGAGAATATTCGAAAAACATTATGTTGAATATTTGAAAAAACTGAAAACCTCAATTTTTGAGAAGATCTACGTTTTTTACTCTCAATGTGGAACTTCACGACCAATTCTTACATTGGAGGAGAAGAAGATATCATAGGAAAAGTCCAAATGACAAGAAAAGAAGAAGTATATTTATCAGTTCTACCAACTCTGACCTCACGTATCTGTGGCGCGATGTTGTGGATAATGGAGCCCCAATAAATATAAATATATCCTCGTATCATCTATAATATGTCCATTCTCTCATGCAAGGTCGTAAAGTTGCTCGTTTTATTCGTAACCGTTATTCTATTCCCACCACCGTTAATTTACCGTGTGAATAAGCATTTTATCAGTTCTGTCACTTGAACTGCATGACATCTGTTGAAAAATCAAAGTACTTGTTCATACTCCTCTAGGCATTCATGTTCTGAATCGCTCTGTTCACTGCGCTCGAGCTCAAATTTACTCCGTTATAAAACTCACACTATTAAAAGCGATTTCCGAATAAATTCAGGTGCATGCCTTTCAAACAACCGTGCAGGGTCATTTCTTATATTTTCATAGCTTCTACAGGGTCTACAATCAAAATTATGAATAAAAAGTCATATGAACAAGTTGAAAGGTTTGTACCACTAGAAAATGCTACCTGAAACAAATGAATACCAAGAAGCTACGAAACGATTACCAATTTCGTTATTTTCAGTGGATATCCGATTATAAAAACAATTTTTTTTTCGAGATAACCTGCTGATCGCGAAGAAGACACGTGAGTGAATCCAGAGTTCAGAGGAAAAAATTTAGATAAACCAATATAGAAGGAAATAAAAGGGAAAATCATTAGGCATAAACTAAAACCCACCCAATCCTTCATACCTGACGCAATCCTCTGTGAAACGTTCTGGATACGTCACAGAACAAAAATAGTTTGAAAATTACCTTCATTTCGTTGTACCTTAATCCCTCCCAACATTTGAAGGGCATGGGCTAGAACCCAGGTGCACTACTGGTGCACTCTTCAAGAACAAGAAGAATTTCTAAACACAACATGGCTGGATGTCCTCACGGGACAAGAGGCCAATAAATATGAAGAACATTTTTTTCACCAGTTTTCGAAATACTGAAGGTTAAATATGGCACATTTGG